CTGCAGCCGGCGCCGCTGTGTGTTTTCCAGCGTCTGCGTCCGGGCGGAAGCCGCCGAGCATCCTGCCCAGGTGATGAGGGACGATCCGCGCGCCCCGCGCACCGGGCTGCCGCCGCTGGACGCCTCCATTGTTTGACCACAACAAGGGCCGGCGCTCCCAGGTAAACCGACCGGCCGGCGAGTTCCCCGCACTTCCAGCCGGGGCATTCTCTGCTCCCCGGGACTTGACTGCAGTTTCCGTGCTGTCCCCTGCTCTGATGCATTCAGTAGCTGCCCCACGTCCTCCCGTCCAGATTCGCCGCCCGTATCTCTGCCAGATCACCTCTCATTTCCTCAGAACTCGGCTCCTTTGTGAGACCTTCCTTGTCCAACTCCAACAACTTGATCTCGAGGAGGAGCCTGCTCCGCACGGTTCGAGTTGATAGTTTTGCTTATTGGCTGTCTGGTTACAACAAAGGGGACCCGCTATTGCAAAAAAAAAGAAAAGAAAGAAAAGAAAACCAAGCTATTGCTTTTTCTAGTGAACGTTTTGTGACATTTAAACAGTTAGTTGTTTCAACAAGACTGAACTCTTTTTGTAGTGCATTTTGTCTCTTTTTCCTAGAGGGTGCCCTTCCTTTGTAGATGCATAGCTTTTTAGAGCAGAAAAATGACCTTGTTCTGTCTACCGGCTAATTTAGAATTTAAAAATTAATAGTAGATGCGTAGAGCTGGACATTTCCTTTGTAAATAGGAAGGTATCACAGGTGGTGAAAGTCCTTTGGCTATCAACCTGTCTCCAAGGACTTTCGTGTGTGTGTTGTGTGTCCTAATAGATGTTTTAAAATACTTTTATATAGTACTTTGCCTTCTTGGACCGTGTTAACAAGTACTAACCAACTAGTACTCTTTTGGTGTTAGCATAGTTATTTAATTGATTTTCGAGAACTGCTGCGTCGCGTTACATAGTTTGGGTAGGCTGTAGTTTAGCCGTTTCCCAGATTGATGACAATTTCACTTTTAACATTAAAACAGGTTTGTTGGGTGGTGGTGGTTCTCTGATGAGATGAAATTTTCGTGAGGGAGCCCAAGTCTATACTAGTTATACAGGGGCCAGGTGTTTATGATGGAAGTTCTCTCTAGTTACCAATTTATATGTGGGAACTTCCTCTCCCCCCCCCCCCCCCCGGGGTAGTTATGACTGTACTACTTACCAGTCCTGTGACCTTGGGGAGGACACTTAGTCACTCCCAGCCTCAGTTTCTGTAAACGGCGATAGTCCCTGCTGTGTCTGCTCCACAGTAATACCATGTGAAAGTGCTTGGTGGAATGTGAAGTGGTAAAAAAAAAAAAAGATTGGTCTTACTAGTCTTTGCAATCTAAAAGTTGTTCATTTGCCATATAATTTATATTTTTTCATCACATATATCACAGAATATTAGAGATTGGTAACTGAGTGCTTTTAAATTTGTGACTTTGTTGCAGCTTTTGTCAGATATTCTAGCGACTTCCTAAGGAATATTTGGTGAAGCACATGGTGCTTTTTTACATACATTAAAAATAAGCACATAAATTAGTTGACTATGAATTGACTTAAGCAAATTGAACGCTGGGTAAAATTTAATTCTAAAATATAAACAGAATTTTTTTCCTAGTGATGTGAATTGTATGTGTATTTTTCTGTGGCATCAGCAGATTCAAATTAGCTTTTATGTCCCTTCAGGGAAAGTGGAATGTAGGCTGCATGAGAAATTTTACCTATTTATCTACTGAGTAAGTGATGTGATGGACAGCATTTGAAGGTATAAGAAATACAAGCGGGTTTTGTAGAGTTTTTTTCCTATTAATATATATATATATGAGAGCTTCTAGTGTGGCCAACAAAATCCACCTGTCCCTGTTGGGGTTTGTGTGGTCTGTGGAGGGAGGGATGAGAAGTTCATTGCAGGACTGCTGGTCTAGTCTCAGACTGCAGTGTCTGTTGGGAAAGTGAGGGAGCTCTTACTGTGAGAGCAAATGAAATCAGGGACCACATGGGAGACTGGGAAGAGGGTGCTCCAAAGAAGACTTTTTTGCAGAGGTAAGATTTAAGCTGAGATTTGAAGAGTGTAGGCGTGGGAGTCGAGTGAAGTCGTGGGTAATTTTCCAGGCAGAGGAACAGCAAGTGAGAAGGCCCTGAAGGGGGAAAGTTTTGCCCATTCCGGGAATTGAAGGAACACTGGTGAGGTGGTGTGGGGAAGGAGAAGGGAGGTTAGGCTGGGGGCCAGATCATGTAGGGTCTTGCAGGGGAGGTTAGGGATGTTGAGTTTTATCCTGAGGGAAATGGGAAACCATTATAAAGGTTGGGTTTTAAGCAGGGGAGTGACCTAATCAGATTTGCATTTTTAAACAACCACTCAAGTTGCCACGGGCAGAATGGAGGATGTGGGTGGAAAGTGGAGAACAGGCAGGCTATTTCACAGGCTGTCTAGGGGAGATATGGCTTGTGCATTGGGGTTCACAGTGAGTTTACACAGCCAACTATAAAGTCAAAGCAGATTTATTTTTGAGACAGGGTTTCACTATGTAGTTAAGGCTGGCCTTGAACTCTATGTAGCCTAGGTAAGCCTTGAACTTGATGTGGTCCTCCTGCTTCAGCCTTCTGAGTGCTGGGATGACAGACATGTGTCACTGTGCCTGGCTCAAACGTTTGATTTGGTTTGATGTTTTAGACTTTTGATATTTAAAAGTCCTAATTTCTTTCTTTAAAAAGGTAGACCTGAATAAAAGTAGGAAAAAATAAAACATTTTTCAGTGGAAAAGCACAAAAAAAGTTAAACTAATTGTCCATACTAAACAGAAAATGAAATTAAAAATTGGGACATTATATAACATAGTTTTTTGGTAAGTTTTGACACAGCCATAACGCATAAGAGTGAGGGGAGGATCTAAAATGAGGAATACTCGTAGATGCTATTGACTACAAAGAGAGTAACAGAAATGACTAGACAAAAAAGATTGATGAAATGACAGAGAATGTGATGCATGTTTAAAATTCATAGTTTTCTAAATGCCAAATATCATGTAGCAGAAAATAAAATGGAAGAAATAAGACAGGAGACTGGCTTTAACCACATTACAAAAATAACCCATAAAACCTGTAGGTATACCCTTGTTGAGACAAGCATGATCTACATGGAGGAGATCATAAAATATTTCAAGTCATCTGAAAGAATACCTTTAATGTAAAGAGAAGCCATGTTCCTGGATGTGGTAGTTAAACGTTACAGAGCTATCGTTTTCTCAGTGAACTTGACGGTAATTATGCGTTTGTTTCTGTGGGGGAAGAGGATCAGAAATTAATCACAACTGCTGGTCTAATCATAAGCTGTAGTATGGTGAGACAAACATTCTCAAATAGATTGTAGAGTCACGTTCACTAAAATGGTCCTACTAGCTTTAGGGTATCTGTTCAGCAGGTCACTGGAGTCTTCCACACCCCGGAAGTAAGCTGTCTGATATGGTAAGGTAGTACACGATAACTTAGCACCAGTGCCTCTTGGGAATGCAAACGTCTGGGAAGAAGAGTTGTGCATGCTTAGTTAGCACTGGCCTTGTGGCTGGTTGTACCTCACTGGCATCTTGTAAGGGAAAGAATCCCTGCCTTGCAGGAGGTTTTAGAATGAGGGGTAGAGACCCTGGCACCTGCAAGACACTCATATCTATTACTGTTGCTATTATAAAAAGAAAGGGAGAAAATAATATAATAAAAAAAATTGTGTGTTAGACTACATAAGAGTTGAAAACTTAAGAGGAAAAGGGAATAGAACCCAGCAGTTAAAAGCCAGAAAATACATGTGACATATGATAAGGAAAGGGTAGTATCTATAATATGTTAAGAGCTTATATGACATCTGACTAATAACCAAATGATTAGTAGTTACTCTTACAGATGAAGAAGATTTTATTCTCAGATATAGATATAAGATCTTAAGAATTGTGAACTTTGGGTGGCAGGTTGTTGGGTGATTTAAATCTGCCGCTTTATTTCTATTTATTTATTTATTTGGTACTGGGAATCGAACTCAGGACCTTGTGCTTGCCCGGCAGTGCCTTTTTATATCCACAAAGATCATACTACATATATAAAGAGACGTTCAGTTTTAAAAAGTGTATTATATCTGGAACATACATTAGCTGCATGACAAATGTGTGCATTTAAAAAAAAATACGCATAAGTAAATTTGGAAATCGCACTGAAAGTGAGTGGGACCCATTGAAAATTTTTCAGCAGGTTAAGAACAATTGGTTTATGCCTGAGAAAGATTCTGATGTTTATGCCAGGCTTAAGTGAGGAGATGATGGGTTTGGTTTTGGATGCATTGAGTTTGAGGGACTTGTAGGACATGAGGTTTTTCTTGAAGAGGATTTTTTTTGGTGGGGGGTACTGGGAATCGAACTCAGGACCTTGTGCTTGCCAGGCAAGTGCTTATGCCATTGAGCTATATCCCCAGCCATTGAAGAGGATTTGTGAAGACTGATTTTATAGTACATACATATCTTTGGCTACACGAACAGTTGGGTTCAGTGCTCACTGTTGAAATCATTGCTTCTAGATGGCCAATTTTTCCTGAGATACAACTGTGTATTAGTAAATTAGATGGGACATATCCGTCCAGCTTCACCTGCACTATATCTTTCCTGTGGAATCTTTTAAGACTGCATGACCCTGACTGCGGGTGATACCTGGATTATCTTCGGGGTCTGCTGGGCTAGACTTTGTCTGTATGAGCAGATGTTGAATTCTTTGGGTGGTTGTGGTCCAGCTGTCCATTGTCCCATGATCACAGTACTTCTGGCTGATTGGAGTGATTTCTATTGATGTGAATTGTTCTCTTCCACAGCGAGGTGGCCAGGAAATAGGCAGAGTGGAGCCTGGGCCCAGTTTGCATCTGGAAGTGCCCACCTGGCCTTTAGGGGTTATGCATAGAGACTGTGGAGTCTTCACCGTCCTTGCCACATGGCTGGGAGTGGGTGAGTGCATACAGAGCAGGAGCGGGAGATGCTGGGCAGCTCGAAGGACAAGGCGTGAGAAAGAACAGTATAGCAGAACCTGCCTCCAAAGGGAAAGGAAAGGTTCACTAGAGAGGAAGGAGCGATTCGGTTAAAATGCCACCCTTCCCTTTTTTCTGGTACTGAGAAT